GGAAAACAGAAGGTGAAGAAATGCAAGTGCCTGTATTTGCTACCGTCTCACTTTTGTTTGGGAGCCATGATTTCAGATTTAGGAGCATGTGGGATATGCAAATTGTTGGGTTTTGGATATAGGGCACTTGGCTGCCCACACTGGACTGGATTTGCTGTTGTGAAGAAGCACTTGGCACCCAAGGGAGCTCTGCAGCATGTCCAGGGTGCCAAAGCCATGAACACCCGGATCGGCTCTTCTGCCTTGTGTGGGTTAGAGCCGGTCACTGTCCTGCCTGTCCCCTCTGTCCCTCTCTTGCAGGGAGGACAGTCCTTCTGGCACTTGGCCTGACTCTCTGCATCTTGCCCAGAATAATGAGCATGACTTGGACTCCCCTGCCCTCCCACTCCGTGTGTGCCCAAGTGTCATCGCCATCGTCACCACTGGCCATCACCAGGGAAAAAAACCCACAGATTTTAATGCCACCTGCCTCGCATGTGAAGGGGACCCCGCAAACCTCCGTGCAAAATGTTACATCTCAAAGCCAGAGACTTCTAACTGAGCAACAAATGCCTGTTGCACAAACTGTACCGACAATTTTTGATGGATAGAAAATACAATATTTAGTCAGACTGCTGTAAGTTAAAACACAGCAGACAGTAAAAGGATGAAATTATACCCCAACAGACTTTTAAATGAGAAAATAGTCTGTGTTAGGGAACATTATTCATTTAAATAGCAGAAAGCTTATAATTTCAACGAGGCCACAATTTCCATAAAAAGCCTACATTTGGGATTTTTTTTTCCCCTTTTCCCTCTTGCAGATTGCAGTTAAAATGAATGAACCTTTCTGCTTACAGAGTAATTCATTTTTATTTTACTTTGCCTTTTTCATGTCAATTACAGAACACTTTGTTAAAATGATTACATAATTTTCACAGAAGCTTGGTATTGCAGGCTAGAGGAGATAAACCCACTTAAATGTGACCAATGTACTCTCAAATTCCTGCCCTGAGCAGTTTCTCATCTAGACATCACTCACACCATCTTCCCAAACCCCTGCATGGAATCAGTGAAAATGTCAGTGACAAAAAAGCATCTTTCTCTGCTGAGGGAGGCACCACGTGAACTCTGTTTTTAGGCAGCGAGTCAGAGGTCACTTGCTGCTAAAAACTCTGTATCCTCAGTCCTCATCTCCTCACTCGGTTCCTGTCTCGTGATAAGGTTACACTGAATGGTGCTGGCATCCTTCAAGGTTACTGTTCCAGAAAATATTTGCAAATAATTTGACGTGCTGTCAGCTAGCAGGCAGCAGTGAACTCATATAATTCAACATACTAATGTGGGTTTTCACGCCTAAAGCTATAAATAAGTTTGATATTCCAAAGTTTCTGTAATGTTTATTTAATAGCAATATTTTATAAATAAATCTTGATTATTCCATTGCACTCCAGTGGAGATCTTCTTCCAATATAACAGTTGTTTCTAACCCCAGGCCTCTTTTTCTGACCCCTCCCTGCCACCCACATCTCCACTAAAGAAATAAAAACTTCCTTCTCAAAACCTTTATCAGGCACTGGAGAATTATGGCCACCACAGCTCTTGCTTTACCTCCTCCTCCTCCTCCCTTCCCCTCTACTTTGCCCAGATTACTGCTCACTCCCCTGGAGATTTTGCCTGATTTATGGTTGCACAAGGATACCTGTGGGAACTCTCGGAAGCCCAGCTAGAGAAAACTCTGCATGTTGAGCATATCCCACTTGAAATCACTGAGTGGGGGTGCACGAGGTCTAAAGGGAATGTTCACAGCTCCAGTTGGAGCAGGGGCTTTGGATCCTACCAGCCAGACCTCAGGTGTGCTTCACGCTCCACAGCTGCTTTTTAAGCTGCCCTCCCTCCTCTCGTGCTAAGGAGCACCACAAAGCAGATGATGCTGGAGCTCAGCTGCTTTTCACAAACCCTGTTCCTGCATGGTCCTCACTGGATGAGCTCACTCTATCCCTCCTCTGTGTCCAAGATACAATGCAAAGCCCACCAAACCCCATTCCAAAGGTGTTACAAATACAGCACCAAGCATTGGTCAAGTCTTTTGGGAACAGGGCAAAGCTGACCCTTTTCCATACTGCAGCTGCTGGGGATTTTTCCCTTCCCATCAAAAAACCAATTAATCAGAAGCTTTCCAATTCAAATGAAGCCTTTAATTGAAAGAGTGCTCTTGTGGAGCTGCATGTGCTTTGAATCATGGCACTACTGTGACACAGTTTTAATAACAGTGAGGTCATGTGTCAATTCCTGTAAGGATCATTCACTTAAAAGTTGAACTTGATGATCCTTGTGGGTCCCTTCCAATTCAGAATATTCTGTGGTTCTGTGATTTTGTTTTTCAAAAGATGATGATTTTCAGCACACTACAAGCCAGTAAAATAATCCTCCACTTGGGGAACCCAGCAATACCTGATAAGAAATCATGAGAGTTGAGCAGGACCCAACACATACATGCAATGGATCATAGAATCATAGAATGTCCTGAGCTGGAAGGGACCCATAGGGATCATCGGGTCCCAACCCTGCACAGGACAGTCTCCAAAATCCCACCATGTCCCTGAGAACATTGTCCAAACTCTCCTTGAGCTCTGTCAGCCTTGGGGATGTACCCACTGCCCTGGGGAGCCTGTTCAGTGCCCGACCACCCTGAAGAAAAGGTGAAGAACCTTTTCCTAATATCCAACCTAACTCTCCCCTGACAGAGCTTCATGCTGCTCCCTTAGGTCTTGTCACCAGTGAGAAGAAGTATGTTTGGAAGAGTACATCTTCTCAAGCAGCTGGCTCTTTACACAGCGGGTGCATTAGCGCAGCGAGGGATGCAGGAATGATTTCTCTGCCCCATATTGCTAAATAGAAACTCAGTTCCAAGATGCCATGTCTCATACAGAAGGATCTAAGCACCTCCCCACATCTGGGCTTGGATTTTGGAAAGAAAGCAGAAGTATCCGTAGCTAAGGACCCTGCACAGGGTCAGGGACCCACTTACTCCACAGACTGGAGTTTTGGGAGAAGTTCACTGCAGTTCAAGTGCCAAGGAAATCAATGACCAAAAAAACTGGTGTGACATCAATATTTCATAGCAATGCCACCACTGGGGTTCAGAGACTTCTGTACCATGAAGGACTGGACCCCAAATGAGCAAAGCCCATTTTCCTCCAGCATCGGAAAGGGAAGTGAGAACTCTCATCAATGAAACAACTTCTTTGTGCTGCACTCTGTGCAAATATTTGGATTAGTAAAACAAATTTATGAAGCAATTACTTTTAATGCTATATGAGGAAATTAAGTACTCATTGATTCGTGATTTATAATCTAAAGCTAAAAGATCATGAAAAAGTAAATATAACTTAATTAAATGTCCCTTGGCTTTGCTACTATTGCAGATCTAACTCATAAAGTAAGTAAAACAAACCATTTTTAGAACATAAATGAGTATTGGTTCTTCTGGTTCAGAAGACAAATAATTTACTGGTTAAATATATTCAGCGAAGTTTAGCCATGTGAAAGATTTTTCCAGTGGCCTCTGGGTCTTGAAGGAAGGATAAAAACTGACTGGTATGGATTCAAGGAATTCATTGTGCTGCGAATGACAGGAGCATTTGCTATGAAAAGAGGAAAACAAAAGGCTATTTCCGTTCTTTTCATAGTGGGAAAAATATTTTAATGTATTCATGGAGTAGAATATACTGTGAAGGGAACGTGCCTTTATGGTCTCTCCACTGGCAACACACTTGTGATTATTCACTCCTGACACTGAGCCCATTAACCTGGGGAAATTTAATGTAATGCTATAGTAACGTTGCTATTTTTCCACTCTGCAGTGTAAATAATTTGAAAAAAACCACCCACCCAGGTTTTTAGAACTAAACATCCCAAGTGATGTATTCAGTTGGTTAAGTAGTCAGTTTGACTCTTCTTTTGTACTGCAGAAGCAAGAGGGTTGAGTTTAGAAAAGGAATGGAAAACAAACCATTACTAAGTAAATCATGGAAGAATATCTGTTGTAACCACACATTTCAGCAAGAGAAACTGTTGCTGAATATACTGGGTTGAATGTCTGTCTCTTCCAGTCTGGGACTGGATGTTGCATGTGCATCCTGAAGGAGAACACTCCCAACAACTTTGATGCCCCTTGACCTTCTCGTGTTTCAAGTGAAGGATGATGATGAGGTGTTTGGATGTCTCTGCCCTCCTTGACGAGTCTTGCAGTGTCCTCTAATTCCAGGAGCAGCACGATGGATTTAGAAGGTGTGATTTCTCCCAAGAAGGGGTGGCAGTTGGGTAAACCCAAGTACCACAGAACATCAGGAACAATCTGATTTCCATTTCTTGAAGTGAATATGGGAAAGGAGAGGTGTACAAAACACCCCCCGTCCCTGCCCCAGCCCTCTCGAGCTCAGCTACACTGAAGACCCCTGCAGAGCTTCATTCTCTCCATCAGATTTAGGGGGTCCTGCAGAGCTAGGCCATCATCTTCATCATCTCCATCTTCATTGATGAAGGTGGGGCCATCCCCTTCCATCTGCCCAAGTGGTGGGAGGTCTGTAGAAGGACCATCCCCCGTGTGAGGGAGGCCTGGTGGACGTGGCTGTCTCCAAACACTCCGAACACACACCAAGTGAACAGCAAATGACCTGGACCTGTCAACAAGGTCTTCTACCGAGAGAATTAGTCCTGTGGGCCTACTGCTGCCAGGATTCAAGTCAGGAACTTGGCATCTCATGTATCTCAGCATGGAATTACACTTGGTGGAGGAAGGGAACTGAGGTGGCTCCAGTCTTGGATCCCCAAACCCAAAGGACAAGTGTTTTCTAAGCTGGGGTAGGGAAGTTGCTGAGTGTAGAGATGTACATGCAATATCTAAGCCCAAGGCTGATGCCTGGTGTCACAATGGTCCAGAGAACCAACCACATGTGTCGGGGTAAAGGTGCTGAGGCCTGTCCTGCTGTGAGGACACAACAGCTATCTGCCCTCCAACAGCAGTGTGCTTTGTGTGTCAACTAAACACGCAAATCCAGCACACATAAAAGGATTATGATGCTCAGAATCCCAAGAAATGGATTCCTCCCCCAAAATGCATTAGTGAAGTAATTCAGAAATAAAAGGGTGACTCTGTGCACTGGCCAGAAACAGTCAAGTGTTGCTGAGCCCTGGTGAGCACTGATAATAACTCGCCAGAAAACATCGACTGCGCTGTGAAAAGAGACATCAGAAACACACAACATATCCAAGAGACCTTGGAGCAAAGGAAGCATCTGTCTTTTTAAAACCTCATTACTGTGGAGTACAAGGGCTCCAGCTCACAAACCACAAATTACATCAGGTGAGTAAGTTACCATACATCAGCTGGGCTGTGTGCACAGCAAACACACCATCAGCCCAGTTAACTTCACCCTCCCTGATTTTACACTCACCTACAGCAACATGCTGCCTTCTAAAGGACAGAGATCCAAACAGCCTACATACACAGGTACCCCAGGCTTGGAGATGTGCAGGAATGTTCCAGGGAAAAGTCACTTTGCTGTTATTCTGAGCCATCCTCAGGCTGGGGAGTACACACTGCAGCTACTTTATCAAGGTACCTTGGTTAAGGAGCCTGTATGTCCAACAGGTTCTCTCTGTCTTTGGTGGAGAAAGATTTCCCAATTGAGGCAACTCTAGGAGAAATATTAAGAGTATTCCACTGTGTTATAAAAAACAAGGCAATTAGTCTCTTCTCCTAATTTAGAGGGAACATGAAAAGCTACATTTTTCAAGCAATGTGATTTTTAAACATCTATGGTTTTAAAAGAGTAAGTGAGTTTTCAACTTAAAAAGCAAAACTGCAGTGTACCTAGGAAAGCCTTTAGCATCTTTGCTTGATATATAAAGCATCTACCACAAGAAAATGATCAGGCTGCAACAACAGCTATAAAGTCAACGTGAAATGGCTGCATTGGCAGTGACTGTATTTACCTGGCATTTTTTAACACAGATTTTTTTACACATGGCCCTTTGGGTGTCTGATGGGTTTTGCTTCATGACTTGTAGCTCCTCTGTTTTCTCTGTGAGAGTTCTTACCACGGCTGTTAATATCCTGTAGCAGTTCCTAGGATCATAGAATCATAGGATGGTTTGGGTTGGAAGGGACCTTAAAGATCATTTAGATACAACTCCCTGCCATGGGCAGGGACACCTTCCACTATCCCAAGTTGTTCCAAGCCCCATCCAACCTGGCCTTGGACACTTCAAGGGATGGGGCAGCCACAGCTTCTCTGGGCAACCTGTGCCAGGGCCTCACCACCCTCATATGGAAAAATTCTTTCCTTTATCACAGAATAATAACCTATTCCCTATTATCATAGAATAATTATCCATTCCCCCTGGTGCTGTCACTACATGCTCTTGTAAATAGTCACTCTGCAGTTCTCTTGCAAATAGTCTCTCTCCAAATAGTTTTCCAAGAGTTAGATCAAAAGGTAATGGAAGGTTCTGGGAGCCTTCTCACATGCTTTAGTGTCTATAAGTACCCATGGCAGCAAACTTGAAATTCATTCTTTTCCTTCTCTTGTCTGGAAGAAAATCTAGCTTACCATACATACCATCCCCACTGTACATTCAATACATTTTAATACACCTTCTTAGCCTCAGTGAATTCATATTTTCTTTAAAAAAAAAATTCCTAAGAGAATGCCACCACGTCTGGCACAGTGGAAAGGGACTCCAAACTGCATTTGCATTAAATGTGGAAAATATATAACCTCTATCCTTCATCTTGACCAAAACATTTAGTTAATCTGAGCTATTTGTTTCTGTTTGTTGTCATTTTGACAAAAATCTAATATTAAATTATTTGATAATTACTTAAACTAATATAGTGTTTCCTGTACCTTGGTCACCAACCCAGAAAAATCCAATATTCGAAGGCTCTGTTCCCCGTTTGTTTTCCATGTTGCCATCCTACATCAGTCATTCTTTCCACATCAACATACAATACCTCTCAATTCTCAAATCTTCTCCTATTGCCTCTACCTCACACCTTCTTGCTGCAACATTTCCCTTAAAGCAACTCCTTAACTTGGTGTGAGTGATGCAGGGATGCTGCAGTGCCACGTTCATTTGCATTGTGCTTTATGAAAAGTGGTTACTGTGAAAATTAGCATCTCAGAAACGGGAAGAGCTCAAGGTGAACAATACACAGCAGAAGTGGATGTGTTCTTGAAGCCTCTCTCTTTGTTGCTGTTGAAAGGTCACACACAAAAGCATGGCATGTGTGGAACAGAAAGGTGAAGTGCACTGCATCTTAAAGTGACCCTAAACAACAAGAAGATAATGCTATTTGTATAACAAAACAATCATAATATCTTAAAGTCCTCCAGAGACAGGGGTTAGCTATTTTCCGTTATCTGACAGTTGCACACAAAACAAAAGCAATAACAAAGATTCATGATAGAACATACTGACAACCTGTTGTGAAGTGTATTGAGAGATAACCACGAGTGGGACTGAGCACAGGCATCTGAGGCAAAGAAACAAATCACAATAAATTAGTAGAAGGAGAGAGAGTCTTAACAGGGGAATAGGCTGATAAACCATTGGTCTCCTTGGACATGTGAGCCCAGAACTTGCTGGCTCCACGAGTGAGGTCTGAGCCCTGCTCCCTCTGACACTCCATGGGTACTCTAAGGAACTTCAGTCCCTTCCTTCATCTTTCTTTAGTTCATTGGCAAACCTGCACCAGGCCTTGATCTTCTAATCCACTCCAGGATGTGTGAGAAGTTTAAATGATTCCTATTTTTAAAACTCTCTGTTTCTCCAAAGAAAGATAGATTCTCCAGAAGTGGATGAATTGATGCAAAGTCAACCAAAGGAGCATAGCATTAATTCAGTCATGTAGTGACTGCATTATAGGACATGTGTGTGAAACCCCTCTCACCAACAGTTCAGGTGAGCTTGGGATTGAGGAGGGAAGCCAGACTGCCTGTCTGCCAGGACAACTGACTCCAAAATACTGTCTTGGGAAGAGTTAGGGCCCAAAGGCTTCATTAATATCTGCATCTTAAGTGGGTAGGCAGACCATTCCCTGCCTTAGAGACACAGATACCACTCTGATATCACAGACAGGGCATTTGATTTTTTTTTGTCTTTTGCCACAAGTTTGGCCCAAAGTTGCTCGAAGTCCTCTCGGTGACCCAAGAGGGATGTACATCCCTCATGCTCTGTACACACAGTGCTGTTCTGGGACAGGGTGGACCTCTCCCCCCACACCACTGCTGAAGGAACAGCAGCCTGTGTGGTGTTCCTAAGCAAAGCCCAGAAGGCTTGATGTAATTACAACCAAGATTTACCTATTTTCAGCTGAAATGAGGCCAACTGCAGTTCAGCAGCAGCAGAGTGAGATGCAGAGGATCCATCCCTGCCTCCAGTGGTAAGAGAGATTGAACAGACCACTCAGGAATAGAAATGTTTGCTTAGACATTGAATTGGTAACACTTCACCACTGAACTTGTGTGGGTTTTTTTAAGAAGCAGAAGTTTCCTTGATACCAGAACCTACTCCCTGTAGGGAAGAATCAGAGCTCCAGAGAAACCTGTGGTTAAGTCCTTTATAAGCAACAGTCTGTTCTGGAGGACGTCTTTCACTGGTGCTAAAGCTGAGCAGGATTTAATTCCACAGGAAGATCAGGTTGAAAGTGAATTTGTGTCAGCCACCCCAAGGAAGCTATTAGGACCTGTGACCTTGAGCTCAGTCTAGAGGGCTCTTTGTGGGACCGCTTTGCCTGCGGGCAGTACGATAAAAGTGTTCAGCCAGCTTGTCTACAGAGGGAATGTGACAGAGCAATCAGTGCTGGAGAGATTGATTTCAAGTGAAATAGCAATGAAGGACACTTGTGTTAATAAAGCAAGGCTGGAAGGGTGGGGGACATCATGTGCAGCACTGGATGGGCCGTTTCCCTCTGCAGCTTCTAGGCGGTTTCTCATCTGTGTCTGACACATGGAATTGGGCATAGCTGTGGATAGAACTATATAAGAACCCAACTTCATGGCTAAGAACAAGGGAGGGAATTCCGTGGAGGGGATGCTGCTTGGAATATCGGGGAGGAGCACTCTGCTGTGAGCGGGTTGTTATGAGCAGGTAATGTGACAATATCCCATGAGCCAATACAGAGTTGGGAAGTTCTCTCAGTGCCAGTAATTCCACTGTGGCACAGCTGAGGGAAAAGGGGTAGAGCACTGAGAAGAGGAGAGTGAGGGGGGAGACTTCATTTCAGTCTGCAACTTCCTCACAAGGGGAAGGGGAGGGGCTGCACCGATCTCTGCTCTCTGGTGACCAGTGACAGGACCCAAGAGAATGGCATGAAGTTGTGTCAGGGGAGGTTCAGGTTGGATCTCAGGAAAAGGTTGTTCCCCCAGAGGATGGTTGGGTACTGAACAGGCTCCCCAGGGCAGTGGGCACAGCACCAAGGCTGACAGAGCTCAAGGAGCGTTTGGACAGGGTGGGATTGTTGGTGTGTCTGTGCAGGGCCAGGAGTTGGACTGGATGATCCTTGTGGGTCCCTTCCAATTCAGGATGTTCTGTGATTCCGTGGCTGACTGCATCCACCTGCATCCCAGGGGGCTACAGCAGAATGACTGCTCCATGGATGAGCTGCCTCTGACATTGGCTGTGGCACCTCCAATACCTCCACCCCTCTTTTCCCTGTGACAGAAGAGGTTTCACTCCAGAGGAAGCTCTGCTGCTGCTGAGCCCCAGCCTGCCCAGCCCTGGCCTTCCCAGCACACACATTCCATCTGCAGCAGGAGTGGGCACACGGTCCTATTTCTGCAGAAGGAGCCAAAGCAGAGGAGATGAAGTTCATGCTGGTTTCATGCCAACTTTCTTGCAGCAGTGGGAGTACAGACAACACCTGACTCAGCAGAAAGCCCTACGCTATAATCTATCAAAAAATTTTCAAATAAATCTGAATTACAAGAGTGGGTTTGTATTGAATCAGCACTTTGCATTGCTTGCCTGTGGCATTTTGGATCCAATAACAAGAATCTTAGTGCCAGATTTACAGTATTGATGAGCCACAACCTCAGCTTCTGTCCAACAGGGCAAAAGCAAGAGGGAAAGGCTTTATTTCAAGCATCTGTGGAACATTTAGAGACAAGAAAGAACATTTGGATGGGAGAGAAGAACAAAAAGAAAGAAGCAAGCTGACGGCATCTTCTAAAGCATTCCAGTGTTACCAAGGATGTGATTCCTGAATAATTTAGTGCTGTAGTGACCAGCAGCAGTGCTACAGCTCTGAAGGCAAAACAAGATTTCATTACACCCTAATAACATGTAGTCTTTAGGCTGCAATATTCATCAGATCAATACTTGTATTTCTATCAGGACGTTGTACATTTGTTTTGTTACCCCTCTAGTATCTCCAGAGAGTCTGTTGTTTTACACAAATAGAGTCAGCCCGGTGACTCTGTTATTATAATGAATTTTTCTGAAAGAGACATACAGCACTCGGAAAACTGCAAACTCTACTTTTAGCCAGCATGGTTTCTAGCACTTTTAATAAATGTTTTGAAAAAACAAACCACCCTGATGGCAAACAATTGTGTTTATCCCCTGCCTGCAAGGATCTGCCTGCTCTTCAGATAACCAATTTCTTCGAATTACTAATAGCAGTTTTAAAAGCAAGCAAAGCTCCCAGTACCTGCAATTCAACAGTTGGAAATCAGCTATAATTTGCATTAAAAATAAAGCCAGTGGTGCGCTATAGCTTGGACATTGCAAGCTGCAAAATAAGATACACTGACTACCCAAGCTCATGGCACAGTACTCCTGTGGCATTGAGCACTTCAATTAAAAGTGAGTCAGCACTTCTTGTTATTAAACTCTGTTTCTGAGGGTTTTCTGCTTAACTTCATGTAGCATAAATGCTCACAGTCCGGGAGCAAAGATATTATGTGCAAATTGCCCCTGCTGCGTACGAAATAAGCCTGGAGAACCAAAAACTGCAAAGTGCAGTCAAATGTGCAATACCTGCGTTAGTTATATACCTCTGGTCTCATCTATACATCCCACAGCTAGTTTTCCATGATAAGGAGCTTGTGGGGGCCTCAGACACTAATGTGGATCCCATGCAAAAGCTAAATGTGGGCTGAGCTGATGCTGGTTCATAGAATCCCAAAATCCAAGAAGGTTTGGTTTGGAAATGGACCTTAAAGACCATCTATTTCCAAGCCTCTGCCATGGGTTGTGCCAAGCCCCGTCCAACCTGGCTTTGTACAATTCCAGGGATGGGGAATAAATGATGTAGCACAAATGTTTCTGCACCCTTCAGCAAGGGGACAGCATTAGCAGCTGGGATTCCCAAACCCTCAAAGAGACCTTAGAGGGGGCTGAGATTCCTGCTTGTTGTCTCCCTGCAGTACCACAGAGAGGAAAACCCTATGTAAGGAGCCAGGTAAACTCTTCAGACCAAGATATAGCTCCTATAGATTTTGGGTTGCGGTACATCAGCCCATTTAGGAGGCAGATAAAGAACAGTTTTGTCTTTGTGCTGTTCCATCTAATCAGAAAAAATTGACCCTAAATAAAAAAATCAGTAAAAATAGTTTGCAACACTTCAAAATAAAAAAAAGTAATTAAACTTTAAACTGAAACAGAACAAAACAAATAATTTAGGTCCAAAATGCAACCTACTGTGTAAGTCTTCATATTTCATGTGATGATCAGGGCTCTCATTATTCAAATAGATTTCCTTTTTCATTTTCCTATTCTCTTTGTGCCTGATGAATTTTACCAAAACCAAAACATTGCCTACTGGTTCAAAAAGAAACTATGATTTAAACGTTTTTTCTTTGCTCTGTCACAGCAGTGACTCAACCCACAAAGCACTCGTGGGATCACATATGGTGCAGATGCTCTGCGAAGTTAAAACACTGTCAAGAACATTAATCTGAGCAGCTCCAGTAATCTGAGTTACGTTTCATTTGGTAATCAACAGCAAGATGTGAAAACTGTTCTCCCTCTCGTGCCACGTGCTGTGAGTTCGCCAAGCTGAGCCAAAGCCAAAGCACATCCCTGTGTGCCAGCTGAACACAGGCAAGAGGGATGTGGGATATGCACCCAGGTGAGCATGTGGACAGCAGGATCCCTGAAGGTGGAAGATATTTCTTACCAGCAGCAGGTGAGAATCCACATTTAAACTGTCTTTTTCCACTCAGGGCAAACTATAAGTTACTGGTGAATGTGTGGCAGTCGCACTGAGTCCCCTCACTGCCTAAATCTCTTCTCCTAAAGTAGCTTCAGATGTGTTGAGGAATAACACTGTAATCCTTTCCTACAAAATCATTATTCACACTATGAATAATAACTGCAGTCTGTGGCCATTCCTCAGAATCCTGGAAGTATCAAATTATTCATAAAGACAGGTTTAAAATGGTTCTCACTGCACTGTGGCAGACAAGCTCAGGGGAGAAAGAACTTGCTGCTCTTTGCATGAGTGTGACCCATCTGATGCCCTTTACAGTCTTACTGTTTTAACCTGTCATGTCTAACTGCTGCCATGGCTAATTCTCCCCCAAATGTACCAAATTTTACTAAAATGAGAGTCAACACGAGCTCCTGGCTCAGGACTGGGAATAGAAACACCCAGTTTCTAGGGCTGTATCTGTCACTGCCCTGTGGGTTTCTGGGAGGGTCCCTTCCTTCCACCTGCAGCAACTGGAAGATTTGGGAGGAGAGAGTCCTCCTGCAAAGGCCCCGGGAAGATGAACACGCAGGCTGTTTCATTAATGTTATTCTGCCAGTCAACTGCAATTAGGAGTGATTAGTTCTGCCGAGTGCAAATGACTCTGGAATGGGAGAGCACTGATGTACATCAAGCACCCCAACTCAGCGCCTTTATCATCAACAAGAATCTTGTCACAGACAGCAGAGGACTCGGGACATGCCCAGTCACATTCAGACGCCTCATCTTTGTGCAGATGTACATATTTTATTGCTTAAAACTAGGAACAGTTAAATGTTTATTTAAGGCACAAAAGAGATCTCATTATCACTCTGTTTTATAACACAGTATCTATAATGCTCCTCTTTATGTCTCATTCCCTGGAATGAACTGGTTTGCAAATGAGAAACAGCCAGGGTTTGGGGGCACAAATGACAATTCTGACTCATTGATTCTCAGCTGAGCTCAAGCCTTTTCTGGGGGTTTTGTAGAGCTGCAGAATGGGATTAAAACCTTTTTACCAGAAAAAGTGCAGCTGACAGTCACTGTGACTTCAGCTGTCAGAGGGTCACTGTAGCATTTGGGTATTTAAGAGTCTTCCCAGTCCCAATAGGTATAAAATAAGACCATTTCAGAGGGGCAGTGTAGCACTAAAGTGCAGTCCCTGCTATACAGTTAAAGGACACAGCTCCTGATTTCCAATATTTCGTTTGAAATTGCAATTGGTGCAAAAATAAGGCTTCTACCACCTTTACCTTTTGGCAAAGCCGTTAGCATTGTTATTTATTAAATCTGATGCTTACCTGCTAGTAAAACCCACTGTTTTCAGCTGAAGTATAAAAACTCCTAAATTCTTTGTATCCTAATTTATTTATGTGAGCTGTGTAGACATTAGCTCTGCAATGAGACTATTAGTAACACACCAACTAGGCTATCTCTTTTTGAATGTTTAAATATGCAGCTCCAAATGATGCTCAAAGATTTAAAGCTCCAAACATATTCACTGCTTTTCATCATAAAACTCTTTTGCACTGATGATTTTACAGAGCTTTGCTTGTGTGCAGGCACTTAGTGGAAGACCAATTGCACAACCTTTTTCCCCTTACAAGCATTCCCGAGGCTAAATAAGACTTTACCAGCAACAACAACACCCATCAGTTATCTGTGCTGTAGTGTAAACAATGAAATTCTTATTATGTACTCAGAATTCACAGAGCCATTTCCATGGTAACTCTGTTTTCATGTCATATCTTTAATGAATAGGTAATGAAAGAAATGCTGCATTTACAACTTCATTACTAGTAAAAAAAAATACAGCAGTAAATTTGAATTATAGTAGCTGTCATTTTTAGAACATGCTGAAGATCATGCAGGAATTTCAAGCCTGTCATTCTGAAGTGACAAAGTAAACACAAGCAGAAAAATATACCAGGCACTCTTGTTTTTAATTCCACTCTTCAGTTTGTTCTGCTATTCATAATTTTCTGATACGGAGTGAAAGCTTAAGTAATAAAGCAAGGTCATGGTGGGATGATGGGGCAGGCACAGTTGGAGACAAGTTGTGTACTTGTGAACACGTGTACCAGTGCTGGTGAATTTTAATGACTTGATCCATCATATTTTAATTACATAAATCACTGAAGTGCTGACTTCTATAGGTATTACTTTCTGGAGAGATACAAAATGCATCACAGGCTGGAGATGATGTTTAGCTGTGGGAAAGGACCAGCAAGTGATTTTGACTGGTCCCATAGACAGGGAAGGAGATAATGGGAGCCAGCCAGGAGGAGTCAGGCAGAGGAAGGTTGCAGCACAACCTCCCCATATTGTAGCCACTCCACGGAGTTACAACATGCAGTAAATCAATGAGCCAATCCAACAGGAGCTGCAGCTCCACGGGCTGTGCAAGGTCTGGCTCATGGGAACAGGTGAATATTTGAATGCAAGATGTGGAACCAAGGAACTTTCTGTGTTTAAAATTTCTGCAGGCTTGTAGCCTAAACCTTTCCACTGCTCCTCCTCACCAAGAGCAGAACTGCAGCTTGTTTGAGAAAGATGCTGAAATCTTTCTTTTCCTGAGTGTGCAAATGGTGCCTCAGGGCAGGAAGAAGCACCAGGACACATCCAAGCTACACAATCATCCTCTTCCCATCACAGGCTTCAGGGGAGCAACCCAGTGTCACACCTTCACCACAAATCCCTCATATATCCTTTACTAAATCTCCCATTTTTTATCTCATATGTGAATACATGGGAATCTGTGTCCATTAAA